CTTTTCTAAGACAACTGTAGGCCAATGCTATTTCTGGATCAAAGTAGAGAGGTCCAATCTCATCCCTAGAAAAGAGATAAAGATGGCAGTGCGGTGTCATTTCATTTAAACACACACATGCACACATAAAAACAAATGCATGCACACACACACATAGGTGCATATATATATATACACAGATATATACGGTAATTTTATATTAAAACTCTTCTGTAAATGACTTTATATCTATAAATGCATACATACGTAGTGTTATTTTGTAGAGGTAAATAAAGATTAAAAGATACCAGAAACCATTTAGAAGAAGAGAGGAGGGATGTTAATAGCATGTATTAAGTGCCTCGTAGGCATTAGTCTCATGACTTTAACCACATTTCATTTTGAAAGTAACCATGAGATGTTGGAGTCATGAGCCTCATATAACCAGTTTAATGAGGAATCTAAACTCTTTTTAGGACAAAAGTGAAACAGTTTTATTTTTTCTAATTATCTTGTCAACCACATTCTCTATTCTGGGCAGCGGGGATGTTTAATGACATCTCAGCTTGATTCTCTGACTTCTCAGTCTCTTGGTTTTTTGAAGTGTCTCATTTGGGTTCTTAAGAGTCAGTCCTGTTTATTTAAAACCTTCCATCGAATTCCTAATAACCTCTGTCTTTTCCCTTCTGCCTGGGTGGGCTAGGCCTGTGGCTATGGTGGCTTTGGGAGCAGAAGGGATGGGCTGGGTGGTCTCCTCCGACAGGGCGCCTCCTTCCCTCCCTGTTTTCTGCCCTTCTTCCTCCCTTTCAGTTGTGGTTGGAAGGAGAGAGTGAAGACACTGCCTTTTTACTAAATCCTGTCAATGAGGTCACATTTCTTGAATTGGAGGATTCTCTATGCTGTTCTGACTTCTTTCTTTGGACTCCCCATTTATGAGCAGCAGCTCCTGCATGCCTACCTGACAAGGAAGTCATCCCTGGCAACTCCCTTAGGCATTTACGGTTCCCTGTAAGATCTGTTCCCATTGCTCTGGTATGTGCACCTTTGTGTCCTCAGGTAAGACTGTCCCTGGTAAAACAGTTACTGTAAATCACATCTACCCTCCATATTTGCATTTGGAGTTACAAGTGTCCATCTTGTATACGTCATTGAATCTGAGAACTTGAAGGTAGCTGCTATCGACTGAACGTTTTCGTCTCCCCCACTCCTAACTTACATATTAAAACCTAATCGCCGAGAGGATGGTATTGAAGGTGGAGACTTTGGGAGGTGACCCCAGGCCAGGCGAGGTGGCTCATGCCTGTAATCCCAGCATTTTGGGAGGCCAAGGTGGACGGATCATGAGGTCAGGAGTTCGAGATTATTCTGCCCAACATGGTGAAACCCTGTCTCTACTAAAATACAAAAAGTTAGCCAGATGTGGTGGTGAGTGCCTGTAATCCCAGTGGCAGGGGAATCACTTGAACCGGGGAGGCGGAGGTTGCAGTGAGCCGAGATTGCACCACTGTACTCCTGCCTGGTAACAGAGAAAGACTCTGTCTCAAAAAAAAAAAAAAAAAAGAGAGAGAGAGTGAGAGACCCCAGAGAGATCTCTTCCCCTTCCCTTTCCACCATGAGAGGATACAGTGAGAAGAGAACTGTTTATGAACCAGGAGACAGGCTCTCACCGGACACTGAATCCGCCAGCACCTCTGTCTTGGACTTCCAGCCTCCAGAACTGTGAGAGATAAATTTCTGTTTTTTGTAAGTTACACAGTCTATGGTATTTTGTTAAAGGAGCCCAAACAAATTATAGGAGCAGTCACAAATTATAAAGACAAAGCATGTGTGACATTTCATTAAAAAAGGTAACAGTATCATGTCCAACTACCTAATCCCTCATCAAAATGCTTCTGCTTCTGATGAGAAAAAAAGGGAAGGGGCATGAGCTGTTGGTTTTTATTGCCTTCTGTAACTCCATACCATGAAATCAGTGATGGCATTCACTGAGTCATTTAGCAAGTATTTACCAAACATGTATATGTAATGCACGCCATTTTGATGTTGGGTATGGATAACTCCATAAAGAGAACTTGACATGTAGGTAGAAAGGTAGAAAAATTTCAAACTCGACTACTCCAAAGTACAAAAAACAGTCTAGCTTTTTTATTTTTTCTTTTTCTTTTTTTGAGGCAGAGTCTTGCTCTGTCACTAGGCTGGAGTGCAGTGGCGTGATCTCAGCTCACTGCAACCTCTGCCTGCCGAGTTCCAGCGATTCTCCTGCCTCAGCCTCCCGAGTACCTGGGACTACAAATGCGTGCCACCACACCCAGATAATTTTTCTATATTTAGTAGAGACAGGGTTTCACCATGTTAGCCAGGATGGTCTCAATCTCTTGACCTCATGATCCACCCACCTTGACCTCCCAAAGTGCTGGGATTACAGGCCGTGAGCCACCGTGCCCAGCCTGATATAACCTTTCTTATATGCCCTTATCCTGCTCTATGTTGACTAGTGGCAGGGAGTACTATCTAACTTTCCAATTAATATATCAGTGTTTGGGGTTTTAAACTGACCTTTTATACTTATTAGACCTCTTTGCATAATGTTCAATCTATGAAAGTATCACTGATGCAACTCACCCACTCCTATCCATACATATGAGGGCCCTTAGGTGACCTCATGGCAATGGGAGGGACCTCAGAGCCATGTGCTGACCTCACAGCTGACTGGGCTGGGCTGCGCTGGGGGTGGAGTTTGACCCCATTGAGGGCAGTTTGTAGGTACCCATAGCTGTAATCCATGATCTCGGTTCTTCACCTCTGGTAGCTAATTCTCAACAGTCTGCGTCTCCGTTTTAATTCCAAGAGGATATAAATCCCCTGACCCTTTTAGCACCTTGACATTTCATCATTTGGGGTATACAAATTTCTGGCTCTCTGCACACCATAGTCAGGACATGAGCCACATTCAACAGTGTGAACTCAAGCTTATTTGTCTAATTCTCTCCATCTGTCAGTGCTGCACCATTGATGATCTCTCACCTAGAAACAAGCCTGTGGTCTTCTCAGGGCACAGTTGAGAAGGCAGTCACTAGTCTTGATTTTCCAGGGTTCCCCACACTATGGAAATCTCTACAACCTTTCCTTTTTGTGAATCAGCGCCGCATGTGTGGAGGACAGGATTTATATCCGATCTTCTTCTTGTACCTCAGTCACTCTTTTTCTTCCCCATACTTTTCTAGGCTAGAAGCAGGCAGTCTCCTACTCCCTGTCAAACTGGACTTCCTCTACCTGATACTTTCTTCTTCCTAGAGACTCTACACCTCATGGATTAGCTTCCTGCCTCAGTGGAATGATGCAATGCAGGAAGAGACACAAGCTTCTGATAAAGAAAAGGGAACACATGGGATGCAGTTATTAAAAATATTCTTCTTACTTTTCAGAATAAAGAACTTTTTCTATTTCATCTCCATGGAAGGTTAATAAAACTTTAAAAAAAATTCTGAGGAGTTTAATAAAAGAGACTTTAGAAAGAAAAATAACTCTGAGCCTCTGTAAATCCTATTGCTCTAACACTTCAGCCAACTATAAAGAAGACCTAATACCCCGAACCAATGAAACATGAAGTTAGATGGACTGCCTCTTCCTGACACACAAATGCACAGTCGTTTACAGAGGCTTAGGGCAGCATAAAGATGCCTTTGATGTTGCATTTTCAAAGTTAACATTTACAGGTGGTTCAATGGGAATTCAAATCAAGTGCAAATTTCTGAGGCGTTCCTGAGGAATAAGTAAGAATTCAAAGCCTATCTTTAAGTAGCAAATGTTTAAGCAGATGCATAGTTTTCTTTCTGTGTAGAAGCATGGGGTAGAACTTCCTTATTCGCACTGTACATTATTCCTGTGATACGACAGCTGAGATTCTGGATTAAAACTGAGAGACATAAAGTTTACCGTTAAAAGTTTACACTATTTCTGTGAAACTACAGCTGGATTAGGAGATCAAAAATAAGCTACGTTTAACAAACTCCGGAGAAATTGTTATCTCAGTAAATGGATGTTTTAATGTTCATTATCTACAAAAAAGTGGTTGGCTTGTGGCTGGTAAAAATTTAGTCAAGTTGTGAGATCAGCTTCTTTACAAATCATCAATTTTAACTTTGAATGAATGCAAATGCTTCTGTTTAGCTTTATTACTAATAGTATCTTCCATGTGTGATCATAGTCCCTGTCCTCAAAGAATTTCTGACCTTAGGAAAGAGATGTCATTCAACTAAGAAATCACGTGCTTTGACTCATGCATGTCTCATTCTGATGGTTCTATGGGACTGGGTCATCAAGAGGTTTCAAGCAGATACATCTTAGATCTATTACGGGCAAAGTGGCCGGGCACACTGGCTCACACCTGTAATCCCAACACTTCAGGAGGCCGAGGTGGGCAGATCACGAGGTCAGAAGATCAAGACCATCCTGGTCAACGTGGTGAAACCCCATCTCTACTACAATACAAAAAATTAGCCAGGTGTGGTGGCGGGTGCCTGTAGTCATGGCTACTTGGGAGGATGAGGTAGGAGAATCGCTTGAACCCAGCAGACAGAGGTTGCAGTGAGCCAAGATCACACCACTGCACTCCAGCCTGGTGATGGAGTGAGACTCCCTAAAAACAAAAACAAAAACAAAAACAGACAAAAAACCTGAGTGCTCAGCGTTTGTCAGTGAATGAAAGATGAGGAAGATGTGAAGCCCCACCCCCCTCATGTGAGCCACATGGTGGATGGGAACAGAGGAGAAAATTTCAAAGAACGGTGGGGCCCCGATCACAGTGGATGGTAGCGATGTGCCAGTGTAAAAAGCTCTAAAGTTGAGAATAGTGTCTATTATAACTTCTGCTTAACATACAAAATGCATTTTTGAAGAAAAAAATTGTGGGTCTCATAATTAAGCAGTTAGAAAGATATTATTTAGGCTTTGTTGCAAACAGACACCACCAATTTTCATGCCAGAAAATTTTTGACCTACTCATTTTTTTTCTATTCCAGGTACTCTCTTGAGTTGAATGAAGAGCAAACTGGCAGACGTGGTAGCTTATGCCTGTAATTCCAGCCCTTTTGGGAGGCCAAGGTAGGTGGATCACCTGAGGATAGGAGCCAAGACCAGCCTGGCCAACATGGTGAAACCCTCGTCTCTACTAAAACTACAAATATTAGCCAGGCATGGTGGTGCGTGCCTGTAATCTCAGCTACTCTGGAGGCTAAGGCAGGAGAATGGCTTGAACCTGGGAGGTGGAGGTTGCAGTGATCCCTGATGGGACCCGTGCACTTCCGCCTGGACAACACGGTGAGACTCCATCGCAAACAAAACAAAACAACAAAACAAAACTGGCCCAAAAGGGTCCAAAAGTATCGACACGTAGGTAGGAATCCTACGCAGTTCTCACCAGGACACCTGACGGTTGTGAGGCAGAGTTTGATAGCAGCTGAGATGGACTGGGAGGCATCGCGAAGGCAGAGTGTTGGGTCTTAGGAGGCAGAGAGTATATGGGAAGATAAAGAAAGAATATAGATTTTTGAAAAAACACTCAGGTTTTTAAATTTTATAAAAAGTACAGACAAAGGAAATTAACATCGTGGAACAGATTTTACAGGAAGGAGTTGACTTATGCTGAAACGTGCTCACTATGAAGTGATGTCAAAGTTAAGTTGAGATATATTGTTGAAGGCATGGGGTCACGAAGACTGCAGAAAGAGATTTGGGACCTAAGGGGACAGTGGTAGGTTGAAGAATGGCCCCAAAACTGCTTGCATCCTGATTCGCTGAACCTGTGAATGTCACCTTATGCAGCAAAAGGGAATTTGCAGTTGTGATGAACTTAAAGATCTTGAGATGAGAAGATGAGCTTGCTTTATCCTGGTGTGCCCGATGAATCACAGGGCTTCTTATAAAAGGAATGAGAGAGATCAGAGGTAAGTAAGCGGTAAAATGATGGAGGCAGTTGAGTGATGTGTGGAAGGGGTCATGAGCCAAGGAATGTGGGCAACCTCCAGAAAAAAACAGCCCAGCTGACACCTTGAGTTTGGCTTGGGGAAACTGATTTCAAGCTTCCGATCTCCTGAACTGTAAGATGATAATCAGTGTGTGTTGTTTTAAGCCACCAAGTTTGTGGTAATTTGTCACAGCAGCCATTGGGAAATGAATGTAAGGACCTAGTGAACACTGAAAAGAGAAGATCCTCATTTGCTGTAACTAAAACACATCCAACATTTGGAGGGCTTTTCAGTTCTGTTTCAATAGCCTGCAACAGAGTGGGGAGTGACAAAATTCCACTCGGGTCACCCAGAAATTCAGGATCATACACAGGCTCTGTGAGAACACAGATGATCTGCTGTGCTCCATTCCCTCTCTCTTTTTGGCAGAGAGGGAAATCCCTAATGAACTTTGTAGGCCCAGGGCCTGTTTCTGATATGTGGTAGGTGTTTAAAGTACATCAGGCTGGGCATGGTGTCTTACACCTGTAATCCTAACACTTTGGGAGGCTGAAGTGGGAATATCGCCTCAGGCCAGAGTTTCAGACCAGCGGGGGCAACAGAGCAAAATCCCATCTATTTAAAAAAAAAAAAAAATATATATATATATATATATATATATATATATATATATATATATATAATTTCTCAAAGAGAATTTCAAACTTGTATGTTTTTTAATTCTATGAAAATATTTTTCCCAGTATAAAAATTAAATTTACTTGCATTTTGCACTGAACATTTTGCATTATAGGACATTTTCATAAAAATCAGATGTCCAGTTCTTCAGTCAGTGTTTCTCAAGCAAATGTCCCTGTATCCTGTTGTGGGGAATGGATCTGTGGATGTATTCTTGGGGTTTTGAAGACATTTATAAATTACTAAAGTCTGAGGGACACTGTAATACACACATGTTGAAGGAGCAAAGGGATACGGAATACATGCTTCAAGAAAACCCAACTCGGTAGTTAATTCGGTGGGAACAAAATGTGAAGCAAGTCGTTTTGTGGTGTGGAAATCAAATAACTAATTGGCATGTTAAATTATTTTACATTTCAAAGTAGAACAATCATGCAGGCATGATTGCAGGCCTTGCAGCACTTTTTCCCTCACTATTTGTTTTCTCTTGTACAATACTAAGTGTGCTACAACAGTGAGAACTAATAGCACCAGAATACATCTTGCACCTATTATCTGTCCTGACAGTAAAACGTTAATGGCAGCATCCCCCTTTGGGCCCCTAATAGATGGCACATCATTGTTTCAGAGCACCTGAAAGAATGTCTGGGTGCACCTCCCCGAGCACCTGACAAGGGAGAGGTGGGGGCCCAAGAGTAATTGCCATGTCATTGCCATGTGATTTATTGCAATGCTTAATTATGTCTACAGGGCACCATCTGGAGACCTAATTTGTGTGCTTTATGAGCAAAAATTGCAGTCAAAATGTTCCTTCTTCTGAACGTAACTGGGTCCCACTTTGGACTTCTTGCACCTTATGCTTGATCCCAACACTATGTCCTAATTATTTTAGTTTAGAGCATCCCAGCCACACAGAGCAACTCTTATTCTAGAGGCAGTGGGCTTTTCCTTCTTATACTATATTATTTAATGGGTTAAACATGTAGGGAGTTTTGCATTATACCAAAAACTCCACGGTAGAGTGAAATCACGATGAACATGTTTCTGAACTATTACTGGCCATCAACCAAAAGCAGTATTACATTTATTGGCATCTGATTTTTTTTTTCTAATTTCCAATTGGTAAGTAATTGTCCCCAAACTATTTGCTTAAAAGGATTGATGACAAATCAGCATTACATGATGTGGATTGCTTTCTATTCAGTTTTCAAATAAATTTTAACCTATTATAGGAATCTTTTTAAAAATCATATTACTGTGCTGAGTTGATTTAAGAAATGCTTACTCTTTTCAATTAAAACCCAGAGCATTAATCAAATGTTTGACACTATAAATGTTTCCAATTAACATCTAGCTTAAAACCACATGTGCTCCAAGTGAAATTCAAAAGATCTATCTGTACAGGTGACCTCAGAGAAACCATTAACACATGGCTGGAGACAGCAAGAAACTTTCTCCATTTGCAAGCCTGAGATAAAGAATCACTCTATGACTGATTAATACTTCAAACATGCTTTTCTTATGTGGGTTTCTTCAACAGGAAGTTGAATATTTCTCACTGAGTCAAAAAGGAAAATAAAATTAGGAAAATATATAGAGAGAGTGAAGTTTAAAACAATCCTATCTGGATGAGCAGTTAGCAGTTCCAAAACCTAACAAAGGCAATGATTGGTCATGACGTAAGCCTAATCAGTAATCTTAAGTCTAAGAGAAATTTTCCAAGTTCTTTTTCACTTCCTCATGCGGAGATTGCAAACTCAGATACCTCCAGAGTCCAAGCAGGTAGCGTAAATGAATGAAATGAGAGTGTCAGGTGTACTGGAGGCCTCAGCAAACTAAGTGGAATACCTCCTGCCTAAATGGGAGAGTTCCCACCCACCAGCAACCAACTATTGTCATGTGAAAATGACAGCCCTGTAGGACTAAACATTCCAAGAGAAGCCAGAAGAAAATCTTTTTCATGTGAATTCATAAATTTGAAATGATGGCAATTACCTCTATGGAAAACAAAAACAACACAGACCTCTTTGCAGGCAGCCTGTGACCTTTGTGTCTGCTGCTGTGTAGAACTGGGAGCAGGGCTGACACAGTCAGAGACAGTCAAGGCCAGTGTGAGGATGAAGGTGAGTGCCCTTCAGTAATATGTCAGCACATCATAAGCCTTGGAGAGCATGCTTTGGCTGGCTCACTGGTGAATCTACCCGTGCCTGGCAGAAAAAGAGAGAGCACATACTTCCCAAATAATTTCTCAACTGATCAGTCAAAAGTGGTTAAATTATTCCAGGTGTGCTATGCAGGGAGTTATTATGGCCATAAGTAAAATGGTAACATTAAGACAAGCCCATTTGCCTAGTGACCTGATGAATTGCATTCTCTCTCTCCTGTCTCTCAGTGGCCTATCAACAGCTGGGGTTGTCAATCCCACAGTGAGGACTGCTAATAAACACCTAGGCCTAGTCTGCAGAAAGATACACATTTCTCTCTTTTTTCTCCTTTCAAATATCTTTCCAAAAGAGAAAAAGCAGATGATCATAATAAGATAAATAGCTGGCAGTTTACACAGAGAGAAATACTTGATGTTCAGAAACAATTTCAAGACCCCAAGAGCCATACATTCATGTTTGTGCAAAGATTTTTTTTTTTTTAATCTAAAGCAAAACTAAGGTCTGTGTGCCTTTGGTGGAAATTGTTCAATGGCTTTGAAAGTAAGAAAGATGATCCTTTTACTTTATCAAGGAGATGACTCGGGTCATAACTAGAGCCAGAAGACTTGGGATTTTGCCTTTTTTTTCTGCTTCCTAAGTAGCTACAGGGTTGCTCATTAACTTGCATTACTCTTCCCATCCTTAGTTTTAAAAAATTGATCAGATACCGAATTTTATATGTAAAATGTAACTAACAACAGCTGAGTAAATAAGATCAGACAAAATAAAGCCCATGAAGAAACACTAGCTTGTTTCTTTATTTGAATTTTTTTTCTGAAAATATTTTCTGGGTTTCCTTGAGGACTTGTTTGATTGCAAACGTCAGGAAACCCAGGTAAAACTAGCTTAACAAGAACAACAAAAAGATTATCTTTCACAACAGAAAAAATCTGGGTGTAGACTTTAGGCCTGGCTTCTCCGAGGTTCCTAGTAATGCCACCATGACCCAGTCTTTGCTGCATCATAATGAAGCAGGAGTGGCCTCAAACACCAAACTGGGAAGGAAGAAGTGTTTTTTATTATTATTATTATTATTATTATTATTATTATTAATACTACCGCTGGGAGCCAGGCGACACTTTGTCTAAATGCCCAAGCTCCCCTAACAAAGAGAAGCTCTGCCTTTATATAGGCTTACACTCTAGATATTACACATGAAATTATCTTAGGTTTACAGCCTTAGAAATTAGGAGTGAAAGGGTCTTGGGTTTACAGTTTTAGAAATCACATATGAAAGGGTTTTGG